TGGAAAGGGTCGGGCTTTGTCTCCTTTGAAATAGATATCAGGAGAGAGCTGCAATCCTGTGAAAACACACATTTATTTCTGAAGTGTTTGTGTATTGTGTGTGTGGTGCACATGAATAGAATTGCCACCTGTCCAAGGCTGATAAGGACGAGCAGTGGTCATGTTCTTGCAGTTTGCTGTGTGAAGAATTGGCACCTACAGCTTTCCTCAGTCTGAGTTTATTAAATGCTGCATGCAAGGAGTTGCTTCACCATTTGTGGCATTTTCTGAGTTTGCACAGATGAGGATTTGTTGGAGATTTTTCTATAATGGATACAGTGTTAGCCATGGCTTCTGAAAACCCTTTACCTTTTTCTTCTGTCCTGCAGTCTCAGAAAGATCCAATTAGCTGTCCTATTCCTTTGGGAATCCACATATGGCACTGCTTTCCTTGATAACCTTGGCCTCAGCTTGTGAGTGGGCAAAGTGACAAGATTCAGATACCCACGTGCTTTGGGCACAGAGTAGAGGAAGTGACTGAGAAAGCTGCTTGGTGTTTCCATTGCACCCAGCAGGGAACTTGTCCTTGCAGTGGGGCTGCTGCCATCATTCCATCCCACATAACTTCCCTTCCCTACCTGCTGGGCCTTGCCAAGCACTGGGATGGGCTCCTGGGCTTTGCTGAGCTGTGACACTGCTGATAGGGATGAGGATATGTAGATATGCAAGTAGGTGGAAACTCTCTAATACATCATAATAGTAATAATAATAATGTACACTTGTACTGCCTTGCAGCTTTCACTGGAACTTCTGCCCACACACCAGCCTACTTGGTTCACAATGCAGTGTGCATGCTAGACAATTAGTGGCTGATAATGAAAAATGTCATGGGAACCAGCAGGAAAATCATAGCTTACTCCAAATACATAATGAAATGTAATTAGCACAGACAGCAAAACAGACAATTTATGGTTTCTTTTTTTTTTTTTTTTCCATAATTAAAAAGCACCAGTAAACATTCCTTTTTCAGGAAGTTTGGTATCAAATGAAATTAAGGAACTATTGTCTGGAATTGTATTTTATGCAGAATTTAACCCTTGCACAGCAGAATGGATTAAGATCTTGCTAGTTGCAGACTCTCCAAGTGAATCTACTGTGGAGCTTCATTTGTTCATCCCCCGGCCCTGGTCCATCGGGAGAGGCCAGGTCTGGCAGCAGGATTGCTGTGAAACCAGCTACAAACCCAAAACCCAGCTGGATCCAATGCATGTAACACTGTGGCCAGCACTTCTCTCTTGTTCTTCTGGACAGACTCTCCCTGAAGTCATCTCGTAGAGTGAATGTGGCTTTGAGGAGAGGCTGAAGCAGGAATAGCATTACAATGCCTTGTGCTCCCTATGTCCTCTCTCAGATTTTTTTTGTTGACCTCAGCTCCATTTCTGATCTCTTTTCCACCTCAGGGCCCTTCACACTGCACCTCTGGTTTGTTCTTGGGTGGTGGGCAAGGAGTGTGAGCAGCTGTGTGGCCTCAGCCTGCCAGGAGCACAAACACCATTTCTTGCCTTGTGCTCCCAACCAGAGCAGCAGAATGAGTGGCACTGCACAAAGGTGTCTATGGCTTTATTTCTTTATTCATTTCTTGGCTTAAAAATGGGTAAATAGGGGAGGATCCTGGCTGAATGTTTATGTCCCAAAGCACGTGGTGGTCAGCACCTCCCAGGGTTTGGACCAAGAGTTGAATGCCTTATTATGCCACATTTTCTCACTCTAGGCACAGTCTGTCACCCATTGGTGTGAGGATGGACATTTCATCTGTGTGAAAGCTGACACATTCCAGCAATGCTGCAGCACAAGGGATAAGTGTGTGTTTCTGCTACTTTTCCTCCTCAGCACCTCTCAGGCCCAGAAAGCCACCACAAGCCAGAACAGAGCTCTGCTCCAAATCAGTTTTACTGCCATTTCCCAGGCACAGCCTTGGTTTGGAGTTTCAAATCTGCAGAGAAAGCCCTTCAGCTTGGGGCTGGGAGGAGAGCTGGAAGGTGTGAGCAGGACTGCATGCAGGTGCAGCATGCTTTCCTCTCGATGATGGAGAAGGAAATTGCCAGCAGGCCTCCTCCAGAGGGGTTTGAGCTTCCAGCTGGAGCTGGGTGCAGCGTGTGAGGCAGTGCTCAGGTGGAAACTCAGCCCTCCCTCAGAGACATTGTGGCACAAACTTCTGGTGTCTGGCACAAATATTGTGGTTGAGAAAAGAGGAAACTTGTGTGTAAAGCCACGGGACAGGATGCATGGGTTGTGCTACCTTGTGCTGCAGAAGTCCCAGTCACCTCCTTGCATTTGGACAGTCTTTAGGAGACATAGGAGCGTGTCTCGGTGCCCACAGTGAGGGGAGGGATCTGAGGCCTTGGTGGCAGCTGGCTGATGGTCTTTTCCATGCAGGAAGGGTCTGTGCCGTCCCTTCTTGCCTGTGCCCCCAAAAACTCTGCCTCTGTGTGGACAGGTTTTAGTACTTGGCTTTGAAAACTTCTCCTGGAAGTTGATGCTGGACCTTTGGTGAGCTCTACTAGGTGGTGCCTTTTGTATTTTTGCCCCAAGGAGTAGGGGAAGCTGGAAGAGTTGTCCCAAGCCTTATGTCACTGAGCTACTGCTTTCTTGTTCTTCTGTATCTGACCAGGAAACAAGAGCTAGATGGGCAATAACACTGTTCTGCCAGTCTGAGTTACTTTAGAGAAAATACATATCAGGTGATCATTTGTCTCCAAGCTTTCCTTCAGGGTGCCAGTCTAGTCAAAGATCTGCTTTTTCTTCTGGGATTTTGCAAGGTATTTGAAGGTCTGTTGAGGAAAAGGAGAACTTCTCTAGCTGGGGGTTGTGTAACATTTCAGAGCATGTGTTGAATAATTTATATGTAAAAATACTAGTGGCTTGCTTGTGCCCTGTCTGAGAAGGTGAAACCCTGGTGTCTCCTTGGGCTCACTGAGATTTTTATGAAATAAAATAAAAGGTAACAAGTGGTGTCCTTGCTGCACCTATCCTCTTGTGTGCCAAGATGTGGTGATCCTGTGTATTTTATATATAAGGTAGAGCGTTATCCTTTTTCCTGCTTATTCTATGATCAAGAACAGGGCAAGTCAGTGATGGGATGCAGCCAGGCTTTCGTGTATATTCTGGGGTTATGGCTACTTTGATTTATACTCATCCCCTTTGATTTATCCTTGGCTCTAGCAGCCATTTAATGACTTCAGCAGCTGAAAATAGCCAGAGTCGATGTCTCACTCAGCCACTCTCACATCCCCAGCCCTGCTCCCTGGGTTGAGGTGTGAGGGGAAAATGGGTCTGAGATGTGCTGGCCAAATTATCTCAGGAAGTTATGGCACCTTATTGCAGTGCTGGCAGGCTCAAGGACAGGTTGGATGGGGCTCTGAGCATCCTAGGGGAAGGTGTCCCTGTCCATATCAGAAGGATTGGAACTAGATGATCTTTAAAGTGCCTTCCATCCCAAACCATTCTGTGATTCTGTGAATTGTCTGTGCCCCTGCAGAATAGAGCAATGAAAGTGTAGACTTCACCTTGTTATTTAAGCTTCTGTGATTCAGTGCATATTTCTGTTCCTTCCTCAGGCTGGGATGAGGAAGGTCAGAGCCACCTCCAGAGTTTGTGTAGCACATGTTCCTCTGGGTTCAGCCCCAACCACTCGTTTGTTTTGCATGTGGGCTGCTCCTTTACATTGGTGATTTTTGTTTCCAGATGAGACATGCTGGTTTGTATTAATTTAAGTTTCTAAATCCCCTTGGTAGCAGTCATATGGTGCGCTGTCAAGGCTGTAACAGGGCACAGTGTAGCTCTTCTAGCCCAAGTCTTTTGCTGAGTCAAGTCTTATAAATTCCCTGTTGGATGTTCCACAGGCAGGGCTGGCTCTGTTTACATCTTTTCATCCTGCTCATCTCATCTGTGAGCTGCAGCTTTGTAATCACAGGCACTCCTGGTGTGCCAGTGATGCTGCTGATGTTTCATTTTTATGGGGTCTTTGACTTGAATTGAGCAGCTGAACTTCACCCCTCCCTGCTGAAGTAATTACCAGAATAGCAAGCCAATTTTTTTTGTGGATGACACTGAAAGTTTTTGACACATGTGCCCTTGCCACCCACCTCAAGTGATGTATGTAGTGTTTGTCCCTTGTTTTGGCATTTTGATAAGTGTGAGAGAGGTGAAATGGCTTTAAAAGCTTTTTGCTGGCGCCTGTGGTTTGTTGCAGACCCGTGGTACAGGCAGAACATGATCAATTGAAATCAGACTGTTTCTTTACAGTTTGACATAAGGATGTTGATGTACAGGACCGGGACATCAGCTAGTGCCAAACCACTGTGCTCATTACCTGTGGCCAAACCTGACACTCGAGGAGCTAAACTGAATTACCTGAGCTGGAGGCTGATTTTTTTTCACCCCAGAAAATAATGGTAATTGTGTAGTTCCATAATATACTTCTTACTTAAGGGTAAAGCAGCAGCTGAATGAGGATCATAGGCTATACATTAACCTGGCTCTTAGTAAATGTAATGAAGTTGGTGAGTACCATTATGTGTAATCTGATTGTTTTAAAGAAAATGCATAAATTACAAAGAGATTGTTGGGGCCTTAATGACCAATTGCCTTTTCTTGGCTTGTTGTAGCACAGATGGAGAGTGTCTCTCTTAGAGCTGGTGTAATTCTGCATTCCTACAAAAGTTTATCAAAATCTGTTGCTGTCTTTCCTGTGTTGGAATTCATCCTGTGACAGAAATGAAGACTTTAATTGTAACCAAGTCTGTGTGGTGTACATCCTTAGTAGACCAGATTAATGTATTAAATGGATGTTGTATCCAAGCCCAAATTCTGCTGGATTTCAGTTCTATTTCATCTGAGGAAGGATGGGGAAGCAGAGCCACATCTTTCCCTAGGCAGTTCCTCCTGGTTGTGCTGATGATTTCTTTTTTGACTTTCTGTTCTTAGTTACTCCTGATGCTACTGGTTTTTTTTGTCTGCAGTTGGAGCCTTCATTATCCTCCCTGCAGTCCTCTTTCACTTTATCAACAAGAAGCTCTGCTGTGAAGAGAGAGGTGGGCTCCCATGCCTGGAACAACAAAGGTGAAGAAAACACTGCAAAGAAAAGTCCAGACCCCATGAAAGCCTTGGTGAGTGTCACAATATTACACTGCCCTTGATGTGCAGAGTCTTCTGGAGGCTTTGATTGCTGGAAAGTCAGACACAGGCTCACTTGCTGTTTCTCAAGTTGTTTGTGTGGAAAACAGTAGGGTTTTGGGTAATAACCTCCCAAATTTGATATAAGGAGATAATAAGGATATGCAATTGCTACCGTGTTCCCATTATCTTTGTTGTCTGGAGTAATGTCTTGAAAAATGAAAGTGAACACTGGGGGAAGAAGCACACTCCCTGCTCTGTCTGTTGTGGGAGTGTTTTGTATATCCAGTGAGGAGCAAAATGGGAGTGTTTCTGAGAAATAACTGTGCCTTTCTGCTCATGAAGGATATGCCTGTCCGGGTTACCTTGTAGTAGCTATTACACACTCCTTTGTGTGCTCTGGAAATGTTATGTCTTGGGTAAACCCACAAGCCCTGGAGTCAAAAGAACTGGAAATTTTACTGTGTTAGAAAAAGAACATTTTAATTTTTCTCAGCCATCAAAAATGCATCCGTTCTGGTAATGTTGGTGACTGTGAATTTGGTAATTTCTTCCTTAATTTGTTTGTAAATTTGCATGTCGTAAGTGTGTCATCACTGAGCTAGTCAGCCAAGAGGAGGCATCAGAAGCCTCCCAATTGAAAGGTCTGCTTCTCAACGGTTCAGTCTTAAATCCAATGGCAGAGGAGCACACTCCCAAAACACAGAGCTCATACAAGGTTGTTTTGTTGTTCATTTTGCCTTGTGCTTCAGTGTGGCTGTTGCAAAGGACATGATCTGGTCGTGCTTTGAGACTCCAGGACTCATGGACAGCTGAAGGTTTGGGTGCCATCTGTGGCAGGAACTCAGTGGGACTAATTCTTGCTAAATTCATTAGTGAGCCAGAGACAGGCACCAAAAATGTGCAAGTACAAATGGTACTAGAAACGATTCCCACTCATGCCCCTCTCGACTGAGAGTCCCAACTTCAGTGTTTCTAAACAAAGACTATGGGGGTTTTTTAATAAGTTTCCTCCATCGATATTTTTTTAAAGTCTTCTTCCCCTTCTCTTTGCCTCCCATCAAGTGGTGTAAAAATATGGCTTTTATTTCAGTTTTTAAGATGACACATCTCCCAGGAGCGTGTGGGTGTTGACATTCTATGGAGCTGTCACAGGCTATCATGTAAACATGTATTTGCAATGCTTTTTAAAATGTGAATTATTAATAAACAGAGTGGCTTGCTTTTTTTTTTTTTTTTTTTGGTCTTTGGTGCTTCCAGATTTTGAAGGACAAGAAATTGCTTCCCAGCTGACACTCTCCATGGCAATTTTCGTTTCAGACTAAATCTCATGTGTCTGAGTGATAAACCTTTGAAAACATGGGCTTATAATGGAAACACTAAGTCAACTTTAACTACAGCTGTGCCACACAAGAAAAATACCACATACATTAATGAGGTGCTAAATCTGATACGGCAGAGGAATGTGTTGTAATCATTAATTACAATGGAAGCTTAAAGCTGGAGTCTGCTTTTTCCGTTCAAATAAAATCGGCTTGGCGAGTTGGAGCTGAGAGTTATTTAAAAATATCACCTCTATATTTAGTTTAAATTTCACCGTGGTGTCTTGGTACTTGTAAAGTCAATATGGGATCTGTGTGTAGGAAATGCCAATGCTTTTAAAGGACAGCAGCATGAGGGAATATATTAAACCCTGGGCTACCTCAGTGTGTCATATGGCGAATGTAGAAACCTGGAGGCTGAGCTTGGGCAGGGAAGCCAGGGAAGGCTGTTTCCAGCATGTAAGGGAGCTCTCCCAAGAGGGGTGTTGACAAGCAAGAGTTTGCTTCAAATTTGGAATCTGGCTTTGCTGGGTAGGAAGGAGCAGCAGGATGGGGAGCATTTGCAACATGCAGTTTGTTAGTCAGCATTCACTTTTCCTCTTTTCAACTTTCTTCTTCTTCTGAGTTATGTATGTTGCAAGGAAATCCTGATTCCAAGGACTCTGGTGTCCCTTAACATGCAGCCCACTAATGGTTTCTCTTCCCAGATCTAAGCTCTCAAGCTGGGGAAGGATTTTCAATTCTCCACATCTGGAATTAAGAGTGCTTAGAACATATCAATCTAATTAGGAGAAAAGGCATTTTGCATGGCTGTGACATCTGCTATAGGATGAACCCCCATATGCAGTAGCACAGGTGAATGAAGGCTGTGGCCTGGGAAGGGATGTATGGGTTCAGTGCATGAGCTGCTCCTCTTGTCCTTGGATCCAGCTGAGTTTTGAATTATCTACCAATAAAGAAGAGAGTTGGTAGAGAAACATGAGCAAATCTGTCTACTTTGCAGGTATGCAGGGTGACATTTAGAAAATGTACTGTAAAATGTCAGAGCCTCTTTTTTGTTGTTGTTTTTTCTTTCCTGTACGGAGCCTGACCTCAGAACAAGGCAAGTGACAGAATGAAATAGGTGTTCCCATCAACATGGCTCTAGGATACATCTGGCTGGTTTGCTCCTGATTTAATTTTAATTACACAGTTTGTGTCTCTATGGAGGGGCAAAGATAAGGAAAAAATCATTGTGAAAATGAAGATTTCATTGAAAACCTTTTAGGAGAATTCAGGACAAGGGCTCTTAATTACTGGGACAAAATGGATGGCAGATTTTTGGTACTTTAGACCCCTATGGATCCTGTTCTTGACTGGTTCGTTGGTCTTAATGATGAGTCCATCTCTTGAGCAGGGATGTGCTGCCCTGGTTTCTTCTCACTCAGCTGCAGGAGTCCCTTCACTGGGAGGGCTGGAGCTCATCTGGACACAGCCAGCCTGTATTTATTTATCCCCTTGGCACTGCAGGGGAGAGCTCAGAGAAAGCTGCAAAGGTAGAGAAGCTGGTAACCACATACCTGGTAGGAAGGTAGCACAGAGCATATCAGGTTTACTTGGCCATGCCCAAGCACCTGCAGAAGGAAGAAGTGGTGGCTTGAAGCAGTTCTGGTCTTTCTAGAGTGATGTAGAACCTTAATATAGGTCATGTGCAGAGCTCCTTAGTGAGGGAAAGATTAGCTGCCATACCTTTAGAGTCAGCTGGAATGTTCTTCACAGCATTGGTGGTCTTTCAGGCACTGGGAGAGTGCCTATGGGAAATTGCCCCTTGAATCATCTCTCCACACAAGGAAGGAGGACCTCCCCTTGAGCAGAGGCTTGAGAGGAGTCAGTGAGGTGTCATGTGAGACCTGTTGATGCTGTGATGGTTTGGTGTCCCTGACTGTAGTGTGAATTTTGGGACCAAGGGGAGGTGGTGACGTTCCTACCCATGGTGTTTACAATGTTGGGAAGCCCTTTACTTCAGAAGTTCATGGGTGAAGCGAGTTACACAGGTACAATGCAGGACAAACCTTTGTGTAAAGAGCTGTGACCAGCTGTATGCTTCAGTGCTGTGCCTCGAGAGTGTGAAGGGTCCTCTTTGTTCTACACCATAATCTTTTCATAATGATGTGACCTGAGACTGGGAAAGAAACTGTAGCTTAGTACACTGTGCTTTATATGAAAATATTCCAGTTGTGCCTTGCCTTGAACACTTGTTAAAGATGTACTCTTGGTGTGTGAAAACAGCATAAATATGATGAAGTTTAAAGGAAGATTTTTTTTTTTTTTCCCATTTTTCCTTCTGTTTTGTCAGCCTCAAGAGCCCTTTCAGTTCATGTTCTCAAGCTGTTCTGCACAGCCACTGTTCCAGCCTCTGGGGCTAGCTTGCACACTTGAAATAAACAAATGGAGATGCAGTTCTTATATAAACCACTCATCTCTCATAGCCGAGGCTTTAAGGAAAGCATCAACACCTATAACCCTCACCCAGGGCTGGAATGTTTGCAGTGCTGCCTTGCACTGTCAGCGCTGCCCGGGGCCCAGGCAGACCCTGGGGACCCGTCACATGCCGTGAGTGGGACTGTCACATGCAGAGATTCATGTTTAGAAATAAGAAACGTGGGTGAGTGTGACAGCACCAGTCTGGCTTCCTCCAAAGTTGTGGAAAACCTAGGGGTGTACTTCTCCAAAGAAATACAGTTGTGGTTGGTCCTTCTAACTCTGATGCTGAGTACTCAGTAGCTCCACTGTCCTCGGCAAGGGCAGATTGAGAGCCAGCCTGAGGTTGCTTCTGTCACCCAGCTGAGGTATGTAGTTGACATTCCTTGACCTCCCAGAGTCAGGAAGGAGAGAAGCTTGTGATGTTTCTCAGTGCCCAAACGAAGCTGCTCTTCTGAATTGCTTTTTCTCTCAACTGCTTCAATAGAGGCACGTTAGGAGGAGTGGCTGACCATGGGACAGTGTGGCTGCCGCTACTGATGCCTGCCCTAGATGTTGGAGAGCCTGGTTTGCAACAAGCTGAATTAAATGAAGGATTACAGCAGCTGAGGGAGCAGTCCCTAGGTCAGAAGGGACAATACCTGCTCAGATCTGTGGCTCCAAATTCCTTTAAAACGTTTGAGTCTGTTTTTCCCAGTGACCCCTCAGCCTCCCAGCTGCTCTGGCTGGTGGTTGAATTAGAAGTGAGAGGAGATGGGAGCTACAGACTCAGCCATGTGTGCACACAAAGATGGATCACCAGGAATCATCCACTGTTATTTGTCTCCCAAAAAGCACTGTCTGCACTGCTCTTGGTGGTCCACACAGAGCAATTCCCACAGGCTCTGTAAGGATGGAGTGTGTGCGTGGGGGAAGGAGTAACTTCCTCTAAATGTTTCTAAAATAACTTCATTTTGTTAAGCAGCTAGACATCCTCTCCCACTGCTAATTTCCATGCAAGTAATTGCTCTGATTGACCCCGGTTTGTTCACTTGCTGCAGACTGGGTAGCACAATTACAGGCGGGGTGGAGTCTATGGGATCTGCTCTAGGGAACAGCTTGACAGCCCAGGTGGGTGGGTTGGAGTGCTGGTGTAAATCGGTGTTTCTCCAGCCTTTTGAATTTGTGATTTCCTTTTGGCTATTCTGTCTTCTTGCAAGCCAGTGAATGGC